CTTCTACCTGGAGAATTTGTCCCCAACCCCAACCCCAACCCCAAACCCAAACCCCAAATCCAACCCCAACCCCAAACCCAAACCCAAACCCCAACCACTTAAGCTGCATTATCTGTGAAATTGGATTTTTTTTGTCATAGATAGTTATTATTCATATATTCATTCACATTGATGCTTGCATTTTCCTGCAATAATTATGGTTGTTGCACTCTGTTCTCATTTTATTACCTGCAGTGAAACTCTAATTTCTATGATTAAGCAATTTAGACTTTTAAATTCTTATTCAATCCTCACTTTTCTCAATGTTTTTCAAATTTTACTTGAGATACTGAATGCTGTTTTTATATTGATCCATTCTATAAAAATTTTTCAAATTACAATTGTGGATTCCATCTATATGGAATACAATATATGCACAAACGATATAAAATTATATATCTAAATTATATCTTATGCATGCCTTTTTAATATCACTGTTATTATTTTAGTATATCTGTGCCAAAATGTCAATTAGCCATAGCACACAAATGTCAGGATTTATTTAAATAGTGCTCAAAGCATTAAACATTTTTATTAAGAACAATGATATTTACAGTTTAATTTTCTGCCGTCAATACATCTTGGTGTAAATCAATGATTGTATATACTCCATTTTTATTCACATTAGAACTTTTGATTTATTTTTTTATCTAAACTCCTTTTGATTAATGCTAATTTTATGGATTAATTGTTTATTCAACAAAATGAATTACATTTCCACACACCACCTCCATCCCCCAGTATCTTAACAATAAAGAATCTTTATTTTGCAGCTACAAATGCTTGTAATATATTTTAAGATTTTATCATGCGAATATGTTTTTGTAAAGAATTGTGCAATTTGTAATGTTGACAAATCCCTTTAGGTTTATTATTGGGCTCCTTGTTTCCCATCTTTTTTCAATTGATAGTAAAAATGGCAAAATGTACTTGATGGTTTTATTTATTGATATTTGCAACCACAACTTTGTCACCTTCTATGAAGTGAAAATAAATGTTGCATTTTATGGTATATCCATTGAATCATTTATAGTGGGATACTACTTGCTGAACTATTAAAATTTAAGGGTATTGACAATTATAGAAGTTAATTTGGAGGAAGCATAATTATTTAACTTAAACAATTATATACTCTGTATGTGTGTTACAACAAAGTTGATATGAACTTTTCCTTTACCTTTTTTTGTCAGATTACTATATTGTTGGGTAAATATTACTTTTGTTTATAAAAAGCATTTGGTATTGATTACCATAAATACATGGTGTATCAAGGAAAGCTAGAGTTAGCAAAAGTAGGAAATGGTTCACTGAACTGAATACTGGTGAGGTTATTAAAATAACAAGTATCAGAAGAAAAAATCTCATTTACTTGTCGATTGAACTTAAATTCATAGGTTTATTCAAATGAAATTTGGTAAAATCCTTTGTCATAATCAGCCATGATACATAAACTGCTGGAATAACTTTAAAAATATTATGATACAATTTTTTACAAGAAAATAAAAGTTTTTGATCAAAATTTGTGGATTTGATTTATAGCATTATTTATTTAACTGGCTGCTTACCATAATCATAGGCTTTAATTAATGAGTAGCTGATTATGTTTATTTGAAGGTGGAAATAAAGCAAGAAGTGCTAAAACTCAACTATTGTTTAAATTAAGTTATGATATCTAAACTTTTCATGTTTTCTTGTATTTGCTAGTTATTATATCTACATATGAATTAGTGCATTACATACCAAGCTATTACTTAAAATCGTATTAATTCACTAATTCTCTATTCTTCAAACTTCAAGTAACACAAATGACAGTTGCAAGTGTAATTTTTAATATGACAAGAGACAAAGACTGAATTAGTTGGTTACAATCTCATTTTTAAGATTGAAGCAACCGAACAACAAGAGAGCCCTGCTGAATATTTGGGGCTTGCTAAACAACAACAAATGATATTTGTAGTAGGCCCATATACTTATGATATCAATAGCAACAGGAAATGATTTATCATGTACTGCATGAGTGCATCACTTACGCGATCAGTCCCTTTCGGTTTAGCCACTACTTTATGTATATAAGTCCAACTTTTAGCATTCCATACAAAAATTTAATTTGCTAAGTTTAACTTCAAATTTTTAAATCGGCAACAGAATTTAGAGTATAATTTGCTCAATCAGGCTTACCAACCATACCAGATTTTCGTAACTTTTTTCTAAAATTTAAATTTAAGCAAAAATTATATATTTATTTGAGAATCAAATTCAATTTATGAATGAGGACGTTCTCTAACTTAAGTTATACATTTAGTTTAAATGAATATTTTATTGGATAATTGTGTGTTGGTGAAAAAGAAAGCAAGTCTTCAAAAGAAGAAAATGGTATCATTGATTATTATATAGGATTTTTTAGATAGTGGAGCAATTTATTACTTCCAGCAATTGATCCAAATCTCAAATATACGTTTTGAGTTACTTTTAGTATTCCTAATGTGCTTGTATTTTGGTAGGAAAAAGAATATTTAAAACAATTATATTCTGTATTGTTTTTTTTGTAAGATTATTTAAAAATAGATATTTTGAAATCTTCATAGTTGTATGATTACATACAAATGTCTTTCTCTC